TAATATAAAATTGAACAAACGAATTTGATGCAGTGAATTTGTATCGTTTTTACTTACATTTATAAAATATTTCATATATGAAAACAATTAAAAAATTCTAAAATCGTTGAAATATTAATAATAAAAAAAGTATAGCAAATATTGCAAGTACTGCAAAAAACGAAACGAAAATAAAAAATAAATTAAGAGTAGCTATAAAAATATATACATATATATACAATTAAGTACATTTTATTAACACTTTTTGCATCATTACACATTGAACATTGAAATAATTATACCACTAGAAATAAAAAATTAATAATTACACTATAAAAATTATGAACACACATAATTACATTTGCAAATGCTATAGATTAACAATAAACCAAATTTAAAAATTATTGATATAAATTGTATAAAGTTTATAAAAAATAATATAACTCTTAAAAAATCTTTACGTAAGTTTTTATTAAGTGTCAACTTATAATAATTAAATATTAGTAAATTAAATTATATATATTTTTTGTATGTACTAATGTAAACTTATAATTAGTTTAGTTTTGTATATAAAGAGTATAAATTAAAAAAATAGTTTAGCCTGAAAATTTTAAAGCACTTCGGAAATACCAAAAAAAAAAAACTGATGAACATATTAGCAAATTACTTGCAAATCACTGGGAAAACAACACCACTATATTAGCCCTACGTTAGAATGCGCACAAGTGCGGATCTATCCCCTAAGAACAGACCGGCTTTGCTTGTGCCAAAAACTTCGTTTGGGTTTACCTTAAAACTACTAAAAACTTATTTTTTAATTTTAATAAAATTAAATTATATTAAATCCAAAAACAAAATATATATATATAAAAAATATGTAATAATATAAGTTATTTTGTCTAGTTAAGTGTAAACAATTTTTTAACAATTTAAACAATATTCATTGATAAAATTACTAACGTTAAGCAAAATTCTATTAAAATATAAAACAATCTAGTTAAATTTCAAAAAAAAAAAACAAAAAACAAAAAACAAAAACGAGAAGAAAATAATTGCATTTACATTTCACATATGAAGTAAAAACTAACACAACACTTAAAAAATATATTAAATACAATAAGTTATACATAAACATTTATATAAATTAAATTAATTAGCATAAAATATAAATGTGTGTAAAAATCAAAATAATACCAACTGAAAAAATAAATAAAACAATATAATACATATATATTATGTATCAAAAAATTAAGCATATTTTAATTAATTCCTTTTAAGGCACAGGCATCACTAACACACACACACACACACACACACACACACACATAACACTTCTATTATTAAAAATAATTTAAAAAATTATACATGAAATATTTTATGCATAAAAACAAAAAAAAACAAAAAACAAAAAAATATCTGCAAAACTAACATAAATTAATAAAAAAAAGTTTATGCATTAAATTTAACATAAATAAATGAAATAAGTACTGCAAATTTAAAACAAAAACAAAAACTCTGTATAAATATAGACTAAAAACATTAAAAATTAATAAAATTAATTTAATTAATATGAAATATGAAATTAAAGAGAAGAAGCATTAAGAGAAAATAATAAATATAAAAAAAAATTTTACAAACTTAAAAATCAAAAATTTAACAAAAAAATAATTTAACGCATTGAAAAAAATTATAGATAAAAAATAATAATATAAAAGAAAAATCTACTAAGTTGAGCAAATGTGAAGAAAATTTAAAAATAATAAATTTAATAAAATTAACTCAATATATATAATAAATATATATATATATATATATGAAAAAAAATTAATTATTATTATAAATAAATGTTACGCGTTATTAAATAAAAATGGATGAAAAAAATTTGTTTTAAAAAAAATATTTGTTTTATTTCGATCAGAATGATAATAAGGAAAGTCGCAAAACAAGAAGAATATAACAATTAAATTGTATATATGAGAGATATAAAGTGTAATATATCTCTAAAGTGTACATATTTCCCAGTAGATATGCCAACGACATATCTACGACAGTGTCATCCTAAACCATAGCTATGATTTAATCACAGCCACTAAATCAGTTCAAGACCACCTCAACAAACTGCGAAAATGTTTAGGTCTTTGGAAACAAAACGTCAACGCATCGAAAACTGCACACTTAACCTTCACTCTACGACTGGATACCTGCCCTTCCCCTCGTATTAAGGGGAATGTACACAAAATACGTGGAAAAAGTACATAGAAGCCAAAGTAACCGAAATTAAACTCAAACAAGATGAAATAAACTGGCTGATTAAAGTGCACATAGTGAAGTGAAACTTTATAATACAATGATAAAACCCATATAGACCTGAAGAATTGAATTTTAAAGCTGTACATCTCCATCAAACATTAAAAAACTCCAAAGATCTCAATCGAAAATTCTTCGGTAAATAATTGGTGCCTCCTGATATATGAAAAACCCAAATATTCATGGAGATCTTCAAATTAAAATAGTCACAGATGTGATTACTAGTAACACCAAATATACAAACTCATAGATCACCTAAAACCACTTCAAAGCAATCTTACCCGAAGCACTGGAACCCAGAAAATCAAAAGGAACTATATAAACCAGGCTATTGAAGAATGACGCCCGGCATGGAAATGAAATTGGATCATTTTTTTGCTAAGGACAATTAGTTATTTACATTCTTTCTTTTACTACTGCAATTAGCGATAACTTATTGTTAGTTCTATGTTGATTCTTAGAAGATTTAATAAAAAGCAAAGTTATTAAAAATATATCCAGGATTTCTAGAAATTGTAGACATTTAAAATAACTGTTAAAAGTTCTCTCTCTAATTGCAAATCTCTCTGCTTAAGAGTTCCAATTATGAGTGGTAGGCATCGACTATTTACAGGCGCCTTACCGCTATCAAAAAAGGATAAATACTTCACAGTTGAATATTTTTATACTTCAAGTCGAAAATTTTGGAACTATTGTATCTTAATTCTAGTTTTACTACCAGGTCATTATACAACAGGTAGGCAAGTAAGTTGAACTGGTTGATACCAGGATGCTACGCGTAAACCTCCGGTTCTTACTGATTGTAATTCAACACATTGTTGTGAGTTAGACTTACTGAATACAGGTTAACATGTTTTACCCAACTATATTAGCTGCTTAGTCTATTAAGATTTGGAGATAATAATTGACAAAAAAAATTACGATCAATAACTACACAGTATGGAATTAGTGAGAACCTACATTTAGCCGTTAGCGGTATATTTAAAATTATAGGTAATTATTGATTATAATTAATAATTATTAAAGTATTGAAAAAAACTTTAATCAAAGTGCTGTCTAACAAAGTGAAGTCATATAAAAAAAACGTGTCTTATAAGTGTTCCTGCCTTAAAATAGCTTCCCATCTCGTACTGTCGTTATTTCAAAAATCTATTATTATTATTACTGTTATTATTAATTACTATTACTATAATTAGGAAAACGGATAGCACACTACGACCTAAAAAATCTTTTATGCTTCTTAGTCGGATTAGATTGTTTCTCCAAGTCCGATTTCTTTAATGAAAGACAGTATTGACCCTGTCTCTTCTGGCTTGAATCCCCATGTTCCATGAAATATGCTCCTAGGTGTCTCTTCCACTTGTGCATCACTTGTTAAGAATAACTATAATTAAATAATTCCATTATTTAAATATGATTTCGTTCTATTTAACACAGGAAGTAAATTTGTTAACAACACTTTGATTGTAAATTAACAAAACTTCAATTTAGAATATACAAGTCACGGCTTTGGGTCAGTTGGATAATTAACACTGCTTCTAGTTTTAATCCTTGGTACTTGCAGTCAGCCAAATATTCAATAAATAATAATAAATTTTGTTGTTGTAATTCACTACTATTCAAAATACCTTCCTATTAAAACAAAAATATCTATTAAGAAATTTCTATTCTCTTTCGTCATAATTGACTTTAATAATATAAAATAGAAATAACATACAATATATATTTTTGTGTTTTAAAAAACTATTGTTAAAGGTGATTACATAAAATAATTTAAAGCTTAATACATATATATTAAAATTGAAAATGACAATATCTCATATCTTATTCTTTATCTCATATAAAGAATAAAACATATGATGTTTCACTTTCTTATTCAAAACTCTGGATGCATGTTTTATCACTTAATGTAAAGTAGTATTGTGCAAAGTATATAGTACTATAGTAGCAAAATCGGCATAGTTTCAATGTCCATTTTCGACTTACATCAATGAACATGATAGCGCATTACTCGCTTTCATACTTTTATGATATTATATATCGTTTGTTAAATAAGAAGGATTATTGTTTACATGGAAAAAATATTTTTCAATATAAGCAAGACGTACTGATGCAAATAACACTATATTTTAGTTTGGTATTAAACAAATTTCAAAACCTTTTGTTAAAAGATTTAGTTTGTATCCAATAGGTCCCACATCCGAAACTCGGACATAACTGAAATCAAAGATTAGCTAAAAGCAAAGATTAGCAACTTAGCTAAAAGTTATCAAAGTTTAAATATTAATAATATAATGTATATGTATATATATATTGAATTTAATATTATCCACAATTAATTTATTTACTATATTCTTCATTAAATAAAGGTGACTAATGAAAACACCGCAGATGTGTAAAGAAGCTGTTTGTCATATTCAATATCTCTAGTTCTTCTTCTTCTTCTTCTTGTCCTTGAGTTAGTGCTATTACGCACTTTTACTCTATAATGGTTGGGGGCTTATCACTACCTCACACTAGGCTTTAACTAGGCTAAGAAATCATATCATTTATTTGTCTTTTAGTTGATAACGGACTTTAAATCAGCATATCTTCCTGAGAATCCAGAAGTGGACTTGAGGATTGTTAGGACGGGGTTAAATAGCGTATCAACTTTAGTGATACAATTTTATTTTTTCTCCATATTTTTATTTTCGCTTTAATAAGAGTATTTTTTACATAAAACTATTCATAGGTTGTACGAATGGACCATGTTTGTTAGGTTGCACCAAATACTTTCCAAGTGCCAGCTCTAATAATGAAAACTGACATTCAGCATATTTTGTGCTGCAATCAACAACCTCACGTTTTGCTCGACGGTAAATTCGATCATACTGATGTACTGCCTGTGGTTCATGTGAATGGACATTTTCCGTAGGTAAACTGGAATTAAAATTGTACTCATTAGATTCATATAATTTATGAAAATAAAGAATATTCTAAATACCTGAAAATGGTTTTGACAATTTCTTCAATCATATTGCCACGTTTCCTTCTAAAAGCACCTAAGTATTTGGAACTTTCGCATAACGCACGAGCAATGCATGCATGACCATTGAAACCCATGCTAATATTAAAAGAGATGTATATTTAATATTAAGTAATTTGTTGGTTTAAAATGCTAAATATAAAATATATAATAACAATTATTTTGTATCGACACCTTCATATTTATTTACTTATATGCTTTACCGATCTATGAGATAGTGCTTATGGTACAGTAGATTAGTTCTAAGTTTTAAATCTGTAAATTTAAAAATAAAGACTAATTTATTGATATTTAGATGGACAGACTAACAGGTGTGTATCACTTAAGCTATTCATCATGTTATGTTAGTTAGAAATATTTGTAATTAATATGGTCTCCGACGGTTTCTTTATTACTATATAATCATTTTAACAATCTGAGTACTGAGTATTTATGATATTGACAACATTGACATAGTGGACTCAAAGATTAAGATAAATATGGTACCTAGGTGTTGATGTTAAAATCACAAACATATGTGGTGTCCAAGACCATTTCTTTACCCAAAACATACTTTGCATCACAAAAATTTTCATTTTGTTTTCCAAAGATCGGTAAATATTTCTTCTTGTAAATTTTTTATCAGCATGACTATGTATCTATCTATATATATATGAATATACACGTATAATATATATAAATTTACTTAAATATGCATTTTGTACTCACTCATTAATTGCTAATTCAATTTTTTCGTACAAGTCTCTTCTAGATCTTCGAAGTACGACTTGTTTCGTATTTGTTAGATCAGTCTTAAAACCGTTTGCGTGTTGTCGCACCCAAGTATGATTTGGCAAGTCATATGCCACACCCCAATTTACAGCCCAACTCAGATAATTCACATTTGGATTACCAATTACTCCAACTGTCATGCATATAGCAGCCTAAAAATGATTTCCTTATTAAATGATACTGCTAAAAGAAATTCTAAAATACTTTATAAAAAATTTGTATTTGTAGACAATACTATATATATCTAATATACATTAAAAAGTTATAATCAGTAATAAACATTAACAAGTGTATACGCGATATTTACTCAAAGTTTTCTTATAAAATTGATTTAAAATGGGTCCTTCAGTACTAACTGAGGAATAAAATAGCACAAAGAACTTTTATGATCTATTACATTTACGAAGAGATAAGAGTAAGTAAAAATATATTAAATTTATTTAAAATATCAATTAATATATTTTTAAATAATTTTAATTAATTAAAAATATATTAATTTATTTATTAATTTATTTACATTTATTAATTTTTAATTATCCTATATTACAGACTATACTAGGTTAGATTAATAAATATGGTATCTATACTTATATAAATATTTTTATAATTAATAGATATATATTAATTTTGATATGTTTATATATGTAAATATATATATATATATATATATATATATATATATGTATATATATTAAATCCACTAAAAATTTTACAACCTATTAAATATGTATACATGTAAGTATGAATGTAATGTATACGTATATTTAATAGGTTATTTAATAGATATGTGTTAATTTTATAGTTAATATCTAATTCTGTCCATGTAGATTTAAAACGTATGATAGTACGATATTTATTTTTTTTATAAAAATTTGGATTCTTTTTTAAAATATTCACCACATGTTAAAACTTTCGTATATTATTCATTCTTTATTGTTAATGACACATAAGATCGTACCTATCATCTACAACTTAACTAAGACCGAGTTCTAGTATGAATTGTAAAAAATTTTAAAAATAAAATTAAGTATTGCGATTTAAAGACTTTGGAATGAAGCTAATTAATGAAAAATGATTTAATATAAATAAAATAGCATTTCATGATATGTTTGGGTATGCAATAGACAGATTTATGCAATAATAAATGTCTTCATTACTGATAATATGTAGTTTTTTCAGGTTGTCGGTTTCGTTAGTCAGGTTTCATTTCAAAAAACACTTTTGAATTTCTTAGCACTTTGTATAGAATATTTAATAAAAAAATTTTGTGTAAGAAGTATTCTGAATTTATAATTTGAAAAACCATATTTGAAGACAACACCACAATGTACTGTGCGTTATTGTGCGCGATCCTTAACCGCAGTGTTTACCTCTCTGTTTTTGCGATTTACCCTGTGAGTGTTCTGCAATGGCACAAATATATTTTTCATAAAAAACTTAACGTAAGTGTTCAACCGTTTATACTTATATGACCCAGTTGGGCTTTTTTCTATTATTAAAGTAAAATTATCAGTCCAAAGCAACATTTCAAATCATTTTGCGAAAGGAGTTGTACCCTAAATATCATAGAATCAATGAAAAGTTATGAAAGAGTTGAATTAAGTTCAGTTGCACTGCAATTTTAAATGAATTTTATTAATTTATTCAATTAAATATAATATTATAATATATTAATTATTAATTACATATATTTTTCACACCGAATGTAGAATACAAAATACAATGTATTATAAAATATTCCCAACAATTTATGTATTAACAAGATTATAAATCACTCTTGCGATAAGTTTTAAAATATTTTTATTCAGACTAAAAAGAACAATATAATTTTTACTTACGGATACCGACGACCCTTCAGGGAATGCCACATAGCGTTTCTTACGAGACAAACTCTTCGACTCTTTTTTGTCAGGTGGATAAATCGTTGCAGCTGCAATATTCAAACCAACCAACAGAAGCAAAAATGATTTACTGATTTCATGTTGCAACATTTTGAATTACTCTTCTACTACTAATCTGGAAATCTTTTCTTAGTTGGTAACTTGTTGATTTATTGGCTCTACTTAGCAAATATCAAGAAAAGTCGCTTTGAAAAGAATTTTAAATATTATTTAACTTAAAAATTAACGCAGAAGTGATTAATGTGCTACTTAATATGGCACATATTAAGTAGCTATTAAAACATTTAAAATGATGTATGAGTATTTAATTAGCATTTAAAGTAGTGCGCTGTTCAAGAAAGCAGAATTAACTCTATATGAAGTTTACCCGAACTCTCTGTCAAGCAAAGTAAAACGTTGACTATAAAGTACATGCATGCATATGCATTTTATAGATATTAATGAAATACTTACAAATTTAATATGTAAATTCCTAAGGTATTTAAACCAAATTAATCATATTTAATTAAATTCACTTGCAATCTATTCTACTAAATATAATACATGTAGAAATTTATGTCAACAAAGTGGCGAAATTTTGACATAAATAGCATTATAGTGTAAATATTACATTAAAGCATATGTGTATTATACTAAGGAACGAAGTATTAAGGTTTTTTTACGGAGGGTTTTTCTCTCGGAGGGCTTTAAAGTCAGTTTTAACCTTCAATAAATCTTAAAGCTCTCATTATTTAATAGCGTTAATATCCAAACACGGGTTGGCACTCAAAGTAGAAGAGTACGATTTACTTAGACTAGCTACTGCCTAAGTAAAGATTTTTCATAAGACCCTAATATAACATAAGATACTAAGTTACATGTGAGCCGGATAGTAACAAAGCAAATGTAAAGCACTATTATCTTTCTAATTTGATTTGTATTGCACTAAAGTCTAGAAAGTCATGCCAATCACAAATGACAGTTCAAAAGTGAATAACCTTATTCTTGTTCTTCTTTCTTAACATAACATTATAGGTGGAAGAATGCTAAGTCAACCCTTTCTTTCCATCTCCTGTATACTGTCAACCTTTCCTGTATACTGTATTAAACAGTTAATTTTTGATACGTCCTTTTCTTCTCTCTGCATTGAACATTCTAACCAAAGCATCTTTCACTTCTCTATCCACAGGTATTCTAACCCATCAATTTATATCTTGAAATGTTGCATTTCTAATGAAGTCTTGACCCTTCTCTTTAAATAACTACCAAATGAATCTACCAACCAAATCATATAAGGAAGATTAGTGGGCATGTTAATATAGTGGTTATACGCGTAGTTCTGGTGTTTATAATATGGAAGGTATAAAGTTAATATTTTTTTTAATCATGCTAGCGGTGAGATATCTGTATCTACTGTTCAATTACATCTTAGCTACGTTGCCATAACTCACGCCCGAGTTTGATGTTGACCTGTTGCTTATTCTTGAAATTAAGATTGTTACTGCTAAGGAACGGGTAAATTGTTTAAGAATTTGGGCATTCTTTCTTCTTATGTGGAAGTTTTAGAGTATTCTCCCATACTCTGTTATTGCAATTAGTTTGAGTATTACCATTCCACAATTTGCAATATTAAGACAGCTTGATTGATTCTTAATTGGGAGCAGTTTATTTTAGTCTCTTTTTTGCGTAGTCTGTATTTATTTGCAGTCCTTTAATGGCACACATCTTACTCAATTCTAGTCGGAAATCATTTTTTCTAACTGAACTTCTTAGCGATATAGTTCGCATTATTTAATTTTGAAATTTCAGTTTACTAATGGCTATCCGAAATAATTTTCCATCTCAAGTAATGGTTTCATCAAGCCTGGTCTCAAAGTCAATGCGACTTATTATTGGGAAAATATTTTGGAAATTGTGTTAGAGTGCAAGCACGCAAACATTTCGGTCGTAGACCATGGACTTTCCAACAAGACTCGGCATCGGCTCCTGTCTCATAAAGATCGTATGAAACAAGAATGGTTAAAAAATTATGTTCCACATTTCATTTCGTCGACACAATGGTTTTCGAATTCACCAGATGCAAATCCGAAAGATTATTTCATCTAGGCCATTTTGGAGAGCAAGATGAGGACTAAAAAATATGTCAGTATAAATACGCTTAAGATAGCTATTGTTCTGGGATGACTTAAATAGGTAACACTTAAAAGTGTTACCTTTAAGGTCACTTAAATAGGTAACACTTCCAATTACCTAACTCTGTATATCTGCACAAACATTTTACACAATATTGGTAATATATAGAGAGTTATTTCTATATTTAAAGTCATTACTGATCAGAATGCATTATATTTTTTATTACAGCTTTATAACGTTATAACACAAATTTTTGTATTCTGTATATTAGTAAGTTTTTTATAATTACTTAAATTTATAGTTTATATAAATTTATATATATTCTATATATTAATTATGTACAGGTAATTGCTGTCACAACATTTCTTTGACAACAGGTATATATCCATATAACATGTCCTTCATTTATATTCGTCTGAGTATAACCTTATTTCCAAACAAAAGTACCCTGTCAGTGCCTTTTAATAACTGTGACTAAAAAATTCGTCATACATGCTCCATTTCGTTAAGAATACCATTTTCTTCATTTTTAGTTAATTACTACCAAAGTGTATATAAAAACCAAGTTTCAGGCAAATATTTACATAAAAATTAACGATCAAATGAAAATGTCCTGCATATTAATGTCAAAATATGCTCATACGGATATGAACACTATTGCACCACGCCTTCAACGGCAGATAATTAAGCACAGGTGGCAAAAAATAAAATAACGAAATTTAGAGCTCAAAACTTATGCTACAGCAAAGTCAGTTGCTGTAATTCAAACTTCAAACTCACACCGAAGTTATCACTTCAAATCGTAGATAAAAGCTCCACATGTACCTAGTAATCACAAAATTATACATATATCCGCTCATATACGTGTTGCTACGAAACATGTGTATCTAACCTTAGCATAAACTTTAAATACTGTCAACTGCACATGCATTAAATTTGCATGCAATACTTGGCATTAGTACGGCAGTGCAACCACATTTGCACTACAACAAAGTTGCACTAAAGTTCGGGTACACCGGGCGTATGAGTTATGTAAAAATTATTTGCGGTGGCAGCAATGTTGCAATCTTGTCAATGAGGTTTGGACGCAGGGGGAATACATGGGAGTGCATCTCTTTGGTCGCTTCAATAATTGCTAGTTAAAATTTAATGTGGGCTTTTAGAACTTGCGGAATTTATAATTATGAGTCACGTTTGCCTATCGCAGACACTGTTTATATGAAATTTAATTTATAAAATAATTATAGTGCACTATACGTATTATGGACAGACAAATTTACTGCCTACTGGTATTTTTTTATTTCATTTTAAGTGTAATCAGTTATTGTATAGCGTTTAAGTGCACATGTCTGATCTGTATGAAATGCAATTTATAAATATCTTTTGTTCATATAAACTTCAATTAACAATAAAACAATCATATCACTGCATTAATTTAACTATTCATGCATTTAAAATACTTAAAGATGCAATCTCCCATATTCATATTTATATATTTAAATGAAAAGAAATTTATTTTTAGTATATTGAAACAAGCTTCAGTGCAGTGAAAAAACTCGAAGTAAATTTAAAAATTTTTATAACAGTAGCGGATTTTTAGTACGATTATGTGTTTTAATCATATTTACAATTATTTTTATATAGTCTAATATTTCAAAAAAATTGCTTTGTGTATATTTCTAACATTGATATACTAGTCGAGAACTACAATTAAGTTTTAAATGTCTCTCTTAAGTTTTATACACATTATAATAATGTACTGTGCTCTTCGATACATCTAAAATGCATTATTTTATAAAAACAATATTCACTACAATTTGTATAAACTATTGGAAAAAATTATTTTTTAGAAATTTGACTCTAATTATCCATATACTCCCTTATGGTTTCGACGCCTTTTTTTTTTAAAACGATATATCTTTGTTCTCAAAATAAGCAATCACTAATTTATTTGAACCAAATTTTTTTCCTAATTACAACAACAAAAATTTTTTATATTATTTTAATTAATTTAATTTTTGGCTGACCATACAGCCGTTTCGAGTATTGCCAAATACCCATCATCAGTGGTCTTGGAAATAATTATTGTATTTAATTATTCGTAAATAATTATTTTTGAGATTGCAAGTACCAGGAATCGAACTCGGGTCCTGCCAAATGTGAAGCTCAGAATAAGCGCACCTTAACCAACTGATACAATAGGTCTGGCGATTTATTCCTGAATCATCTTTTAGAAGTTTGTAAGTGGAAAAATAAATCGGAGCATAAATTATTCAATTTAATCATCGTTTTTATTAACTTGTGACTTAATGTTTTTTATCCTGCGTACGGTAACGTGGCACTACGGTAACGTGGCACAAGTTATGCACATAAAATTATTAACACATTACCTTCTGATATCTTCAAGATGTCACACGTAACTTCATTCTATGGTCTTTCAAACCTATTTTGTAGACATTTTTATGTTTTTCGGAAAAACTGCCGGTTTTCGGTAACCAGAGCTTTGGAAATCATTGTTGTTTAAAAAATCATATTTTAATAATAATATTTAATAATATTCAATAATATTTCATTTCTGTGATGCAATGTGTCCATAACTTCTATCAAGTCATTGTTTGGCATAAATAATATTGTTCCTTCATATTCTATCAACGAACTAAACTCTTTTCTATCTGGTGTTTTAAAAATTTCAAAACTATTTTTACCTAACTACTGTAATCTGAACTAATTATTAGAATATCATGATAGCTGGACTTGTATGATTTGAAGTCCGTACAAATTAATTTATAATATATATGGATGTACACTTTTCCATGTATCAACAAGGTACTTTTCCATCAATGAAGTTTTACTTCCTCAAAACAATTATGTAGCAAAACTTCCATATACATATCACCAAATTTCTAAACATCAAGCTGCCGACTTTAATATCAACTAAGTTCAAAATATGACTAGTATAACTTTTTAATAGAAATATA